TGTTGTACAGATGAGCACTATGCCTGGACTTCCTACAAGACCCTGTTTCTATGATATAGACTTAGACCCAGTGTCAGGAACAGTAAACGGGCTCTTTTGAAAGGAGTTAGTAACTGAAGGTGGGTGCCTTCTTCAAGGTTTTCAATATTTGGGCTTTATTTCTCCTCTTGAGATAATGGAGTTAAGCCGGTCTCATATTATGCCATATGTTTCCAAATGACATTTGATTATAATTCATCCTGAAAGTTGCCTGCAGTACTATATAATGGTAATTAAATCTATCTTTCTTTCCAGCTCCCAGAAGAACACCTGATGAGTCATGTAAACGGAACTATGCCCTGATCTTTTTTTTTAAAGTCAAAACAAGATATTACTGAGAATACAGTGCAAGAAGTGACTGGAAGGAGGAGTGCTAAAGCATCAACTACTTAATCTGTAATAGTTTTTATACTTCTGTGTTCCAAGCTAGTTAACACTGAGCATATAAATCATACTTCCTCTACAAACCTGCTTCCTAATTGTAGCTGAAGCAGAATACAGAAGCTTAGGTTTAGTGACCTCTGATTCAAGTACCTGATTTTAATAATTAAAAATCCTAAAGCTGGAGCTGTTTGGAACAGTCTTGGGTCTTAATTGTCTCAGCCATAGGGGTTTTGTAGCATATGCTATCTTTGAAAGTCTTGTACACTGCATATTCCTATTTGCCATGCTAAATTCTGTATTCTCCCTCTCTGCTATGGGAGAAACTGCTGCACTATGAAACCGCACCAGTGCCATTTAAAAGAGGGAGCAAGGAGGAATCCCCTTTCCTTCTTTCCTCTCTCCAGAAGTGGTTACTCTGGCTTCTGCTCTGAATTATTCCTGCAGACCACCTGAGCCACATCAAATTTCCCTTTTAGAAAGCCCAGCTGTGACTACCGTATTTTACTGTGAAAGAAATGGAACCTCTGGATGTCAGATCAGTTGGGATTGGATCTCTGGCCCATAACTGTGGCTTCTACTACACCCATCTTTTAAACCATTTTATGCTCAACAATCAATACAGTTACACTGTTGATGTGCCTTGTTTTCTGAGCTGCCTGTTTGGTGAACAGAGACAACATGAGTAGCGACCAAGTAACTTGTAGTAGGTTTTGTCAGCAGGCCAAGAATCATTCTGTAATGTAAAAATACAATTGCTGCCAATTTTTTAACTAATACAAATAAACTGGTAAATACTGGAAGTGCTTTTGAGGTGTTAACATACACACCAAGATTACTGAAGTAGAACTTAATTCTGTCATCAACTGTACACAGCAGCAATCCCTGTATTGACAAGTAAGAGTGATCATTGCAGCAGTAAGTTGCCTGCAATGCACCACTGTGTATGTGCATTTAATCCTGTTTCCTAGATGATGTGTGTCATCTATAGGAAATAAACTACGTGAATTACTCTGAATTTGAGATACTTGCAGTTGACAGCAAAAGATCTGAACTAAGACTTGCAAGGCCAATCTGTTTACATCAGAACTGAATCCAAAAATACGCTGATTTTAGTGAAAACTGGAATAATCAGGATGTAGGTGTGCACCAGTATAAGGGCACATCTGTAGCAGACAGATACTGTGTATATATACAGAGAGAGAGTGCTATAGCTCTAGAGTTACTCAGGAGGGAAGGATTATTGTCTAGAAATGACCTGATTGTCACAGAAGCAGACAGAACAGCTTGAATTGTCATTAAGACCATTTGAGATGCTATTCATGGCCTCCTAAAATTTCCTCTTTTATGGTATTCGAGGCTTTATTGGCAGCCAGGGTTGCCAGAGGGCCCACAGGCCACTGAAGGGTGTCAGAAGTTGCTGCTGCAGCCTCTGTGCCTGGCTGAAAGTACCTCTTCACCTGCGGCACCTCAGCCAGGCCTCCTGCTGCAGCAGGTTGCCAGAGCTGCTGCCAAGTCCACTGTCAGCTCCTACATTTAATCTTCCTTGCTGCACTGCTTTCCTGCAAGTGCTCTGTGTTCCACCTTCATTTTATGCTTACGAAAGATGGGATAAGTGCAAATTTATGCTAAGATTAGCCTCCTTTTAGTTTAGCATGAGCTCATAGACATGTGCTTGAGAGATGGTTCAAGAGGTTGCTAGTCCAGCTCCTGCAGGGAGGCAGAACAGTGGCTCAGGCATGCAACTGTTTAAGGTCTTCCTGTGCACGGCAGAACTGGTGGCAACAAAGCAGAGGGGCAAAGAAATACCCCAAGCATCCCTGGCGGTTAGTGGGGAATGCTTTGCTAACCCTCATTTTGAATGTTTTGAGATGTGAGCTCTCCAGTGTTCTGGGTTGGGGCAACCCCCAGTATCAACACAGGCTGGGGGACAAAGGGATTGAGAGTACCCCAGAGGAGAAGGACTCAGCAGGGGTACTGGTGGATGAAAGGTTGGATATGAGCTGGCAGTGTGTGCTTGCAGCTCAGAAGGACAAATGTATCCTGGGCTGTGTCAAAAGAAGCAGGTCAAGGGAGGTGATTCTGCCTCTCTACTCTGCTCTGGTGAGACCCCACCTGGAGTACTACATCCAGCTCTGGAGTCCTCTGTACAGGAAAGATGTGTACCTGTTGGAGAGGGTTCAGAGGAGGGCCACAGTAATGATCAGAGGGCTGGAGCACTTCTGTGAGGAAAAGCTGAGAGAGCTGGAGCTGTTCAACCTGGAGAAGACTGGGAAGACCTTATTGCAGCCTTTCAGTACTTAAGAAAGATGGGGAGAGACTTTTTAGCAGGGCCTGTTGTGATAGGATGAGGGGTGATGATTTTAAGCTTAACAGAGGGGAGATTCAGGCTGGGTGTGAAGAAGACATTTTTTACAGTGAGGGTGGTGAAGCACACAGTTTGGCCAGAGAGGTGGTGGATGCACCATCCCTGGAGACATTCAAGGCCAGGCTGGATGTAGTTCTGAGCAACCTGATCTCGTTAAAGATGTCCCTGCTCATTGCAGGGGTTGAAATAGATGACCTTTGAAGCTCCCTTTCAACCCAAACTGTTCTGTGATGATACTCGGGGTCTTGCAGGACTGACACATAAATAGGTTATTCTTAAGTCTCTCCTTTGCAGCTAAGTACACCAGCTAGTGTTTGCCTATTAAATAGGACACAAAGGACACTTAATTTCTGCTAAGTAAATATTGGAAGATTGTATTCTCTTTCTGTTGCCTAGAGAAAAATCTAATTATGTACGAGTTTGTTCTCTGTGGGCTCTTTGTGGGCCTAGAGCCCTTAGCTGGTGTTAGGGCCATCTGTTTTCCCAGCTGTGCTATAGTAAGAGTCCTGCATCATGTCATGCAGAGGTTTGCATCATGCAGGGGATTGATGTTGGTTTGGTTTATTTTTCTTTACTGGCAAGAGGGACAAAAGAAATAGGAGCAAGTGTTGCTTGGCTGGCTTGCTGCATGTTACCAGTGTGGGCCCAGAAAGAAAAGACAGCCTACAGTTGGGCCAGGACCTTTCAAGCTTACCTGTCTTCTGAGCAGATCCTCTATGTGCCCCAGACCGTGTTATTTATTTGCCTTCCACCACAGCCTTTGGTGGTACCATCTTCCCCAGAGGCACAGGAATAATTGAATTCCATGCAATATTTCCCCATGGGATTGAGGAGAACCTGCCTCCATCACGCTGGCATGCATGCAAGCCATCCTCACGCCAGCCATCCTTGTGATACTGTTTCCCTTCCTCCTGCCACCGGCTCCATCGAGGGGACATCTCCTTGAGGAGCCTCACTTATCTTTAATGCAGAAGTAAGGCGTAACTAGAACTCGCCACCCACCCTGGGGAGAGAAGCTGTTTCCAAATGAAGATTATTATCCTGAGTGAAGGCAAGCAAACACGTCTCATAGGGGAGCTTTTAAAAAGGCAGTTCCTTGTTGCTTGATTCATGTTTCTGCCCTGCTGGCTGACATTCCAGCCCAATGAGCCTGTTGTGTGCATTTTTCCCATGCAGAAGCCAAGGAGGTGGGAGGCCATGTGTGTTTTTCTAAGGCTGGCCTTCACAGGAAGCCACTTGCAGGTTCAAAGTGTGCTGCTGTGCCTGGGTCTTATGTTCAAGCATGCTGTGAAGTAGTTAATGTCCTCAAAACCTTTGTGGGCGTCAGTCAGCTCTCTGTGGAGATGAATGGGGATGTTCAGGCATCTCCAACTATAGCTTCATGTAGTTCATCAGCTGCACTTGGTAGTCCTTTTTCCCGAGGCCTTCCCACCAATCGTGTAACAGCTGGAGATGCGATTTTTTAAAGTCAGAAGAGGCTCATGCAAGAGGCACTTTCTCTGGGATTTGGGGTGAGGGCTAGTTTAAACCCAAGAACTGGCTGTCCTTACCAAGACCTCCAATGGCCTAGCTCCTGCAGCAACCCGAATTGTGTGTGCTTACAGCTGCATAGGTTTCAAGTGGGACAAAATAAGGCAGCTGCCAAGAGCAAGACCCCTTTCCTTCCCGAACAGCCAGGTAAATGCTGGATCCACAAACGCCAGTGGTCTTTTCCACCGAGGTGCACATCTTACAGTGCCTCTTGCTGCCGTCGGGATCCAAATTGAAAATCCCAACTCGATCTCGTGGAAAACCTTTGTCTTGAGTGCAGTTTGCTGTTAGCGCCTGCTGCTGCCGTGCACAACCTGGGAGGGGAAGGGTTACTCTGCAAGAGAGAGGGATCCTGCCGCACAGGGAGGGATGCCGCTGTGCCAAAAGCGAGGGATGCTGCCTTGCAAATTGGGATGCTGCCCCGCGAGAGGAGGGGGTGACGTCCCACGGGAGAGAGGGGTGCGAACGGGAGAGACCCAGCCCTGCCCTCGGCGGGACGGGGCCCGCTCGCAGGCGAGGGCAGTCCCGGGCCCCTCCGCAGCGCCGCGCTCTCCGCTCGCTGCGGTTGGGTGCCGGCAGGGCCGCCGCGGGGCCGGGGGCGGGCCGGGGGCTGGCGGCGGGGGGCGGGGGGCTGCCGGCAGCGCCCTCCCCGCCGGCCCGGGGGGCGCGGCTGCGGCGCAGGCGGTGGCAGCGCAGCCGCGCGGAGCGGCGCGGAGCTGCGCGGGCCGGGCCGCAGGTGAGGGCGCGGGGGGCGCGGGGCGGGCGGCGTGGGGGTAGGCCTGGGCGGCCGCGGTGCTTCCCCGCGCAGCACCCGCATCCCCGCGGACGGGGTCGGCTTTGGGGTGCCCTTGCCCTGGGCGGGGAGAGGTCTCGGGGAGCAGCGGCGGTGCCGGGCGGCTCCTGCTCCTGCGAGCGACCCGGAACTTCGCGGGTGCGTGGTTGGGCCGGACCGGGCTCGGGGCTGCGGGCTCCGCTCGGGGCAGCGGGAGCTGCGGGCTGCAGGCTCGCACACGCGGCTCTGCTCCTGTTCCTTTAAAAATTAACATTCATTTTTATTTCATTTATTTTTTAAAGCCCCATTTCTGCTCCGCGGGGAGCGCGCCCCGGCTGAGCCCCTTTTCAATCGCCTTACTACTGAAAACAGCGCAAAACGCTGTGTAAGATTTGCCCTGAGTCTTCGAGCCGGTCCCGGAGAAGTTGGTCTGTTCACAGTAACGTGTTTTTGCGTCTTTATATCCAAAACTGTTCTGATGGTGTTCTGAGGCAGCGATTATTCCTTCTTTTTCTGAAGCGTGACATATATCTTACAGTATCATGTATCTGATGAACACATGCGGTGTTAATTGAGGTTGCCATGGAAGGCATGCACATAGTATAAATAAGCTCCCTTCTTGCCATGTGATTTCGCTTTTGTATTCCATAAGCCTTCTTTTTGTATTCTGTGTTTTTTGCATATTGTCATATGGTGCATTAAAGATAAAAATATCTGCTGTCTCAGGGTGTAATTTCCCTAGCTGGAACTGTGAGTGCATATGGAGTGGTGGGGAAAAGATTCAGCTAACCGTAGGAGAAGAAAATATATGCATGTGCATGTGTAATATGGATTTGCTGTAATATGGGCAGTTAAAAAAAGTAAGTTCCCGTTTACCACACAAAATAGCAAAACGTTTTTTTCTGTGATGGAATATCACTGGGTTGACATCTTCATGGCCTTATTTTGCCTCTGGATATTGATGATAATTAGCAGGAAAAACTGCTATGGGGCATCCCGAGGCAGAACTGCTTTTCCAGCCAGCCCTGGTCTGACTCCCAGATTGAAATATTAAAAAAGAAACCCCAAACCAAACAACACTTTGAAATACTTTTCTAATTAAAAAAATAATTGCTGTTCGGGTCTTATCATTTCTTTGTTGTGTTACAGATAAAAGATGGAGGCATTGGCCACGCTTTGCAGCAAACCTAATGTAACCTGCGAGGGGAACTGAAGCAGAAAGCAAAGCTAGACAAAGCAGCATCTGACTTGTCACTGGGGGCAGAAAACAGCCACTGCCGGCCTCTGGTTTTACTGGTGCTCCAGCCCAGTTCCCTGGGCAACATGGAACTGCAGATAACTAGGAAAGTGCAAGTTCTTTCCAGGTCCATGGGGTGAATAAAAATTGTTAACCTTTGGCTTGATTGTCATCCTTTGGGGGAAAGAAATGTAATGTCAGACTGGCTCTTAGACCCAGCGCAACTGGAAGTGGATTGTCTCAGAGGTGTGAGTGACTCTGGCCAGCAAAGCCAAGGAGAAGCTTATTCAACTTCACGTCTATGCTAGATTCCTTGGAGAGATGATAAAGGAAGTCACAAGACGAAGAGGGAGTTGTAAAGCTCCCTTTACATGTATGTGATAGCTTCAGCAGAACTCTTCACTGCCACATCCACTTGTTAAAAAGCAACTAACATTATTTTGAAAACAACTTGAGGAAAAATGTGCCTTGAGCATCTCTGTAGTTCCTGTGTCTGATGCGTTAACCAAGGAGATTGGTAATGTAATGGCAACAAAGCGAATATGGTGAAGGCAGCTGTGGAAATTCAAATGGAGAACCCAAGAGAGGCAGAGACTCACAGTGCTGGGGCGACATGCTCCCCATCAGAGGAACAGGCAGAAAAACCCTCCATGCTCTGTTTTAAGAAGCGAAAGAAGTCCCGTAAGAAGAGGCTGACTGTGAGGGACGCGTGTGAAGGAGCCTCCGAAGAGAAAAGCCAATGTGTCAGCACTGACCTAGGAGAGGTGAAAGTTTCTAACCAGTCACGATCCTCCAGAGGAGCCTGGACAGCCATCAAAAACCTTGCAAGGCCTCGGAGAAGGCAGAAATCCTCCTCCCGGAAGAAAGTGCCCTCTGATTCCCAAGTGCAGCTGGAGGTGGATGCTGAGGAGGGCTGTGAGCAAGGCATCCCAAAGAAACGTGTTTGCTCTGGGGTGAAGATGCCCTGTGTTCGGTTCTCCAGGGGCAAGAAGAAACACAGCCCCTCTGAAGCAGTGGAGGAGTCAGAGGGCAGTGTTCAAGCAAACGAAGCGATGGGCATTGTAAATAAAGCTAGTGAAGAGCTGAAGGATGTGCCCCCAGTGGATAAGTCTGAATCCTTAAGCCCGGTCTCTGTGGAGGAGGACCAGGATATGGCAAAGGAAAGTACCAGCTCTGTTGATAAGAGTGAGCCCTTGACAGAGCCCACACCTGATGCAGAGGAACATACAGAGTGCACCATCACGTCGGAGATAACTGATTCAGAGACAGTTAATGAAACATCCCAGGAAAAACTGCAGGAGGAGAGCCCACCCGAAACCACAGTCCCTGTGGAAGGTGGCGAGGTTGCTCCTGAAGTGCCCATTTCCAAGGATCAACCTGACAGCACCCTAGAAACCACTGAGCTGCAGGAAATCCCTAATGTCTGTGAAGAGCTGCCTGAAGAGAATGGATCAGAAAAGAGCATAAATCTTCCTGAGGAATGCAAAGCTGAAGAGACCATAATGGATTTCAGTCAGTCAACATCTAAAGATGATGCAGTGAGCGTGGAGGACAGCTCCAGCCATGACATGCCATTAGGAACAAACATAGGCACCGCTGTTGGCATTGTCATCACTGTCACTGAAGCTGAGGACTCTGACAACACCGACTCTGACCAGGCCTGTGAGCCATCCCCTGTTTTGCACCGAAATAAGCAAAAAGGGAATAAAAAATCAAGCAGCAGCTTTGATTCGGGTAAAAAAGAGGGTCCTGAGGCTGGTGGTGATGCCCAAGCAGAGGAAAAAGCTCAAGGCAACCATGAGCACAGAACTGGGGAGCAGTACGAATTGCTCCTCATAGAAACTGCCTCTTCTCTCGTGAAGGCGGCCATTCAGTCATCCATAGAGCAGCTGGTCAATGAAATGGCCCTGGAACAGAATAAACACAACAGTTTTCTGTGATGGCAGTGATGCCCCCAAAATAAAGGGTACAAGGAGTGATTTAAAGCTCCAGTTGGCGTGGGGTGTGTATGGAGAGCTCAAAGGGCTCCTGGGGCCGAGGTGTAGTTAATCCTGCATGCCCGTTCAGTTGTGTGTCTATGTGAAATGGATCCTGGGACATGGGGCAAACCTTGCTATGTACAGTGTGCTCCCTGGGGCTGGGGCTTCAAACAGGCTATTGACCGCAGCTGCGGAAAAAGGAAGGCATTGCAGTGACTGTATTATCATTATTGGCATCTTTGTGTCAAGGCCACATTTCTGCCATCATCCATTGCCAGGTTTCCCCACTGGTCATGCTATAAATCTCTATGTAACATGCATTTAGTGAGAGGTCCCAAGAGGTGACGAGCACCCAACCCACTGCTGGGCTGTATTCAGGGCACGTCAGAGACAGCTGGAGGTTTGCCCTGGGGTTCAACAGAGACGAGGGAAAGTGAAATGACTGCAATGTTAACATGAAGACGTCAATGCCAGAAAGGCTCAGGCCGGCATTTAGTATTGCAGACAGGTACTTGCTGCGTACAGATGCCAGAAACCATGGTCACCCCTGCTGTCATGTTGCATGAAGCTGGATGGCTGCAGTGAGTGGTGGTTTTCATTCAGCCTCTTCCTCTGTCAAATGCCTGTGCATTTCCACACACGTTAAAGCACAGCATCAGCCGCTTGCCTTGCTGACCCCGGGCTGTGGTGCAAACGCCAAGCAAATGACAGCCGGACAGTTTGCCGGGAGGGCCATTCTTGCACCATTAAGCTTAATGGGCAAAATTCCCAGTGGCATCAGCAGTGCGGGTTGGGCTGGAGCGTGCCTACTGCGGGCAGCCCCTCTCCTTCCCTTGCCTTCCTCCATTCCAGTCATGATGTTGTGGTGAAGCTGTCCTCAGATGTAGCATATTTTTGATATATGGCATGTGATATAAATAGCAGTGAGCTGCATGCGTGTTAGCAGTCAACTATTGCCTCCGTGCTGACATAGTTTGGGGAACTGCTGGCGCTAGAATTGCTTTGATTTGGTCTGAGCGCTGCCGGCATCCCTGGGTGCTGGCGGCAGCCTGTCCCGCACTGCTCCAGCCCCTCCTCACTACAAAGCCTGCCTGACTTCAGCCAAGCCCGGGCATCCCTTGGGAAATGTGCATTATGCCTGGCTCGCTGCTGCTGGGCTCTGGCTGGCTCCGGCATGCCACGTAGCTTGCGCTGAAACATGCAGGGAAATGCTGGAGCAATCTTAGCGAAGTCCTCAGGGAAGAAATCTAGACATGAGGGCCTGGGGACGAGGCTGTAAATGTCTGGACAGGCCAATCACCATCAAAACCCACCAACTGCCATGTTCTGAGGGGGTTTGCACCAGCATGGTGTGTGTACACGAGCATCACCTCTAACTACCAGCTCTCCAAGAGAAAGGGGCCTTTAATAATGTGGAATTGCATCTGCGCAGCTGGGATTTACGTACAGCTGTAGGCAAGCCAGCCTGTTCTTCTGAGAAAATTCTCCTGCGTATTTCTCAGCTGATACAGAAATAGCAGCCTTGCTTGGCAATTGCTCACTGACCATAGGCAGTGCGCTGAGAATTCCCTTCCCAGCATAGGATTTGGATTCCTGTTAAAATACAAGGGCTGTAAACTTTCATAGTACCTGGTGCGCAACCATGTTTTAAACTTCAATAAAGCATCTCCGTTGTTACAAGAGGACTGTGAGCAGCGAGTGCCACAGCTTGTTTCTGTGCAAGTTAAACTTCAGAAAAAGCAGAGTGTTAAAAAAAAAGTGTCTTTTTTTTTTGTGTGGATTTATTTAATAAGTTACCAGATATCAGTAATTCATTGTGTACAATTTTAATGGCTTTGTACTTCATACTGGTCTTTCCAGGTATTTTGCCATACTTTTGAAAGGGACTTTATAAGGACTTTTGTATGTACCTGCTGCAGTCCCTTGAAAAGAGCCATACTGATGCTGGAGGTTGTTACGGGATTATGCTGGGCACTGTAGCAGGCCAGTGCTGAGCAAAGGGCTGCAGCAGCTCTGTGAGGCCCCACTGGTGTTGGCTGTGGAGGAGGATGTCTGGGCTCTGGTAAAGAAACACGAAATGACCCTGTGGGGCAGGCTGTCATCTTCTGTTGGCCCGAAAAGCAGTTTCGGGAGGATTTCATGTATTTCAGTACTGCCTTTTGGGCAAAACACGTCTTCAAAAGAGGAGGAGAATGGCAGAAATGCTGTGGTCCAGCCCAGTCCCTGTGACTGTTTCTCCACATCCAGAGTTGTGTTTGCATCCTTTCTGTAGCTGTTTTTTCCTTCTGTTATAGCTGTACATATAACTGATTATTATTTCATTAAAGTTGACTGTACCTGTTGTTTTCTTGCCTTGTGTTCTGCGTGAGCAGCTATGGAGAGATTTTATACATGAAAGGATAAACTCACGGTGGTCTGTTGTATCCATCTTTTTCAGGCAGCCATATGGTGAGCAGAGAGAAATCTTAAAGTTGGTAGCACACCTGAATTGTTTGGAGTCTTGCTCCTCCTGCGCTCTTTTCGTAAGATTTCCTTTCAGTTCCTGGCCAGTCATTTCCGTCAGAGTCCTGGCTGCCCAGGGAACTGCTGTAAGGTATTTGTGAAGGATCACAAGTCTTCAGTGGCTAAGAAAAGCCATCCTGCTGCCTGACAGTTTAATTCCCGATCGTGTGCCTCATACTGCCAGGGGAAAGCATTTGAGGCTCTGCAAACTGACCAGGGTCAAACCCCACTGTGCATGGAGCGGTGCAGCTCCTGCTGATGCCATCTGGGTGGTGTGGTTTCCCCTGTGAGCTGCTGGTCCATGCTTTCTGCTCACAGAGCTCTGGATTACCATTTCCAGGTGCACAGTTTGGTGCTGATGTGGTCTGCAGTAGGGCCAGCACCTCTGGAGGGGCAGCAGCAAGTTCAGTGCTTTGGCACTTCCTGTTACAGCTCAAATGGGCCCCACACCCTGATATTGTTTTTGCATAATATCTTTTGTGTAATTTCTCGAGGCACTTTATAACAAACATAAAATATAGGGAAAAAAAAAGTTATACATTTTAACAGTATTAATACTATTTATTCTTTCAGGTTTACAGAACAAAATACAGACTTGTAACAACCTCTAATGACTTACTTAAGACAATCTACTTCTTCATTATGGATAGAGAGCTGAACATTAATAACACATCCATT